TCATATTAATAGTACAAATAATAAAAATTATTTACAAATGTCTTACATTTTAACAACTTTTAATTAATTATACTTACATATTAATATATCCAAAGATCAGAAATTACAACAAGGGTCACTGTCAGGGTGAAAATATATATTTTAAACATTTTTTAATATATGCTATTATTACATGCTTTAACAGGTGATTTATTCATGGCACACATGGCATCTTGGAAAGTAAAAATACACTTTACCAATTTTATGCTATTATGTAGGTATAAGAGCACAGTCTCAGAGGCAGACAAACTTCTGTTCAAATACCATCTTTGTGCCTAGAGTAATAGTGTGTAAGCTTCTCTGTGCTAGGGTCAGGACTAAATTATACAGTGCATATTTAATATACTTAGCATGGACACTTAATAGACTATAGATCCTTTCCCCAACTTATTCATATTGAAGCAACAGCTCAGTGTGTTTGTTACTATGGTATAATTTGAAAAGGTGGAAAAACTATCAAGAAATTAAAATATAAAATCAAGTTGTTTTCAAACAAATGCCTTTTACTAAAAGAATCATTCAGCAGGTTTAAATCTTCCATAATACAACTTGTTGCTGTTATGTGCCGTGGAGTTGGTTCCAGCTCATAACGAACCTGTACAGGATTTCCAAGGCTGTAATCTTTACCAGAGCAGAAAGCCTCATATTTCTCCCATGGAACAGCTGGTAGTTTCGAACTGCTGACCAATGGATTAGCTGCCAGATTTGTAACCACTACGCTACCAGAGCTCCTTAGTGCCAACTATAGCCTGGTTTAAAACAAGTCCTGAAGTGTTATACAATTTTCAGTGATTAAGGACGTTTGGTTTTTACTGTGCTCGGATATAAAAAATAATGGCTATATTTAAGGTTCATTAAGTTTGTATTTGCAGTTGCCCTGAACCAAAACTATATTCTTGATGATGCACTACCAGTTGAGAGAGATCTACTGCCTGGAATGACCATCATAGAAGAATTCTCAGGATATTCTATATTTCAGTAAAATGGTACCCCTCCCTTTCTGTTTCTAAATAAAGTTTATATCAAGGTATGTGGCAGTATAACTTAATCTATCATTAAGATTGAATCATATACACAATCACAACCCCATCTTTCTTATGCTAAATATATAGTACTTAGAAAATATACAGTTTCTGGAAATTAAATTTAAATTGTCACAGAAATAGGAAATCATGCTTACATCCCAATTCTAAGCTCTTTTTTTTTCCTACCCTGACCACTTAATAAATCATCCTTGAGGAAATATTTCCCTCAAACTTTACATCCCTCCATGTACACCCTTTACATTCATGTAAAATTTATATTAACTTCAACTTCTATGTATAATTATAATTCATTTTTTTAAGTTTGTCTTCAACTTCTAGCTAAAATGTAGTCTACTTTACTTTTAACTTTCTTCAGTGTTTAGCACAGTGCTGTGCATATATGTGTTGACTGTGTATATACAGATTGTGCATGTGTTGTGTGGACATATTGAATAAATACAAAACTAAAGCGCCTGGGTGGCTGTAGGGTAGAAAAAAAATTATAATTTTTCTGAAGTTAGTATTAAAAATTGGTTTTCAAAGCTGTATCAGTTTGGTTTTAGGTATGTCAATAAAAAAAAAAAAAAGGCAGTCGGGAAAAAAGCATTTAAAAAACTTTTATGAAAAATTCTAAAAGGTTTTGAATAAATTATTAAGAGCACCAAGCCAAAATAGTTTGCTAAATATTGGCATAACCTTTTCTATGACTTTACAAATGTTGACTACTTTCCATTTCAAAGAATACTGAACAGAAATAGGTGTTGTGAATCAGGATTAAAAAGGAAAAAAAGGCAATTCACTCTATCAATAGCTAACGCATATTTTTCAATTAATTTGAAAAACCTTCTGTGGTATGTTACATTAAGTAAAAAAAAATGATTTGTATCAAATACTATAGATTTCTATAGTTGTTTTGATACTATAAAATGTGACACATATATTGAAGTTGCTACTTAATAAGAAACATTGTGTTCATAATAGCTGTTAATATTAAAATAGGATATAATAAAAAATTATTCTCAATGTGTATATTTTCAAGTTTGCCTGACAGTGTCCTTCTGAGAAACCTTGCAATTTGTAGTTAGATTACAGACATTTAAATTTCATTTTATGGTTGAAAATATTACACTGACATCATAACAAACAACAATATATAGTAGCTTTTTACTGAAGCATTTCTGCAGTTTATATTTAAAGCTCTGCAATAAAACAAAAATTGTACTTTTCATAAGTAAAGCTATAAAACATATATGCTATAATTACATAAAGAATAAATAAATAAAATTAGTCATAAAAAAATTCAGGCCAATGATATTTTAACTGTCCTTCTAAATGCTAGTTTCTCTTTGTATTGAGTTCTATTGTATTTAAAACCCAAGAACCTTTAATCTTTAAATAATGAATTCACTCCTTATTTATTGACATGGATATCCAAAGATAGCATCATTTTGCAAAAATCAGCATGATACAAAATGTAGGATGACATTGGATCACAATATAGAGGGTGACAACATTATCCCATAACTGACAAACTACATCATTACATAACTGCAAAAGCACTGAGAAATACAGCTCAGCCAAGGTGACACGAAACCTTAACCATCACAACCAGCATTACACTTGCCTTGCAGGCTCAGTGTTGGTTACTGCCAAACATACATTGTTAATGCACAAAATAGTGGGATAGATTTTTCACTATTGTCGTAAATGGGAAATGTTAGATAATAATATAGCCAATAAGTAAGGAGTAGGTGTGTTCTGAAAATATGTTCAGAGTACAAACATAAAACTCTTTTTCACTAGGTCATCTAGGAAATAAAATAAGACAAATGGGAGGCAAGGATGGTTCTTTGTTTTTCTGCAAAATTCCTCTTTGTTCTCTATATAGTTCTATGTAATTTCTAAGGAAAATATTAAAAGATGAAAAGTTTGTCAGATTATAAGCTTATTTCAGTGGTTTCTTATATGGAATAAAGAAGAAAAGCTTTATATAAAGAATTTCAGTTTTTGGCTTATTCATTTTCAATTTTTCTCTAACATATGGTTGTCATATAAAAGCACTTCTTGAAATGCTCACTTTTAGTCGTTTTAAACAGCACAAAATGAATTAGATTAATGTAGAATCAGTCAAGATAATGCATCAATATGGATACTAGGGTGAGGACCTAGAGTTTGCTACACGGAGAGCTAAACTTGCAAGAGATCGCATAGCAAAAGTAGAGACTTTGTGACATATACCAGCTTTAGAAATATAGTTGGAAGCCAATCGAAAAAGCCTCTCAGCACCAAAGGTATTGAAGTGCCCGGGTAGCACCTTCTCTACCAAACCTCTGTCCACTAATTCTATCAGCCGCTCACAGGTTCCAACATAGTCACTTATCCTGCTATACGGAAGCCAGTCAATCAGTGATCCATCATACAGGACATCTCCACTGAAGAGAATCTTTCGGTCTTTGTCATGTAAGCAAATACTGCCTCTGGAGTGTCCAGGCATGTGCATAACAGTGAGCTGTCTGTCACCAAGGTTGATCACATCCCCTATAAATAGAAACAGAGTTTACAGATAAACATATTCATCACTCATTTAAAGAACACAATTAAAAAACACTAAATGGCTTCAAAAGAGGTTGGGGCACAAGAGGGAAGGAGTCTTTACATCAAGGATCAAACATATCCCCTCGGTATACAGGGTTGATAGGGACCGACAACTTAAACATTGTCTTCCTAAAATGGGGGGTGGGGGGCTATAAAGGCACAAAGTGGCTAGCTTACAAGTTTTCAAGAGGGAGTTTAGTTTCAGAGTGTGCAGGGAAAGGTAGAATTCCCACTGAATGTTTTCATCTTGTCTAGATGGGTCTGGTGAAAGGAGATGGAGATAAAATTCTTTTGATTCAATAGTGAGTAATTGTTATCATGACTAATTGCGATTGATTGCCACAACTGTAAAGGTAAAAGTTTTGTAACATAAAGGGGGGAGTGGTTAATCTTGCATTCCAGGAACAGAGGTCCCTAGGACCATCAAGGGAGAAGAGCATGAACAGAATATGGGACCCTATCCAGAGAAGCAGCTGCACTAGAGATAGAGGCAGAGATGAGGACACGGGGAGATAGAGTAGCTGACTCTAGAACCATGGAAAGAAAAAGGCTGTGTGCAGGAGACCAGGAGGCAGGCTTGTAGAATGTGCCCTTAGGTTGTTTTAAATGATTATAAATTTCTGAGTGTTTTTATGCACATTAAAAACAACAACAACAACAAAAACAGAGGGAAAAGAAGTAAATACTGTTAAATGATGATGCATGGAGGGGATTGTAATCATTGCAATGAAAAAAACTAAGATAAGATGAGGGTAAAACTGATGTTCTTCCATGTAAACTATCACTCAATTCACAGTAAAAGCTTTAAAAAAAAAAAAAAAAGAAGAAGAAGAGGTTGGGACAGATGAAAATTATTTTATACTAATTATTCTAAATTAAGTTGGCCATACTTCCTTTTTATTGTTTGCTAGACCAATGTTTGCCAAAGTGAATAATATATAACACTAGTTCTGTAGCTTGTTATGAGATGCAAAAAAAAAGAAAAGATTTTTGGTGATTTGGATAATTAATGTTTAATATTTTCTATTTAAGATAATAGAAATCAATTGTAAAAGTATTCCTATCCAAAATAATTTAACAGAATACCCTTAAAACATTTCAGATTATGATGAAGTATTCTTATTTTAAGAATTTAAGACTTCTTAAAGTTTCTAATATGCTAATGTACAATGAAGATCTATAGGAGGCAGATATAATTTTAGAGTTTTTCAAACTTACTGACCATCACTTATTTTTCAGAACAACTAGTATGCTGTTGATACAATCTGTGAATAGCATGCAATGCAGAGTATTATATTTTGGGTCCTTTTGTTACACTGTGGGAACTGGGGGTTGGGGACTCACAGCAAGATTATGTTGTGGCTACTCTTATTGCTGTGATAAACTGTCCTTTTTCTCTGACCCAAGAACCTCATATCTTCTGTCAGAATCTATTTCCTGTAACAGTTCTTCATCCCCATTGCCCTTAAATCTATTTCAAATCATAGTCACTCTACAGAACAGAGTACAGTACCCCATAAGGTTTCCATAGCTGTGAATCTTTATGGAATCTCCCATGGGAGATTCCATAGCTGGTGGGTTCAAATTGTCAGCCTTTTGGTCAGAAGTTGAGAACTTAACCATTGTGGCACAAGCCCCTTGTACAGTTCTTGATATTGGAGAGCAAAAGTTGCTATCTGGGCACAAAATTTCTGTTTTACTGGATTTAAATCAGTACTGACTTGAAGTACTAACATCTTCTGCTTTAGGCATTTTTAGAAGCTGCTTTTCTGCCCTCCTCTGAGGCATTCTGGCACCACTGGTCTGTCAGTTTGTTGTACTGTGGTGATTTGTGAGTTGCTATGATTCTGAAAGCTATGCCACCAGTATTTTAAATACCAGCAGGGTCATCCATGGTGGACAAATTTCAGATGAGCTTCCAGACAAAGACAGACTAGGAAGAAGGAGTGACGAACTACTTCCAAATATTTACACTGAAAACCTTATGAATAGCAGAGAAACACTGTCAGATATAGTGCCGGGAAATGAGCCCCTCAGGTTGGAAGGCACTCAAAATGTGACTGGGCAAGAGCTGCCTCCTCAAAGTAGAGTTGACCATGATAATGTGAATGGAGTAAAGCTTGTGGGAGAAGAGCCCACAGGACCTTAATTTGCAGATGGGGCACAACTCAAAATGAAGAGAAAGAGCTGTAAACATCCATTGAATATGGGAACATGGAATGTAC